GGAGGGAGGGAGGGAGGGAGGGAGGGAGGGAGGGAGAGAGAAGGGGGGCATACTCGTGCATGCCATGGCTTGTGCACCACTGTGTGTGTAGCACAGGGTCTTAATTACTTTTCTATTGCAGTGAAGAGACATCATGACCAAGGAAGCTGTAAAAGAAAGCATTTCATTGGGGGCTTGCTTACAGTTTCAGAAGGTGAGTCCATGACCGTCAAGGTGGGGATCGTGTCAGCAGGCAGGCAGGCATGGTGCTGGAGCGGCAGCTGAGAGCTTATATCTTATCTGCAAGGCTGGAGACAGGGAGAGAAGGGGTGGGGGTGGGGAGACTGGGCCTAGTATTGGCTTTGGAAACCTCAAAGCCCACCCCTTGGGACATACCTCCTCCAAGAAGGCCACATCTTTTTATCTTTCCCCAAACAGTTCCACCAACTAGGGACCAAGCATTCAAATAGATGAGCCTATGGGGGCCATTTTCATCCAAACCACCACATAAGGCTTCCGTGTGGAGGCCAGAGGACATTGTTGTGGAGTTGGTTTTCTTCCTCCACATTCCTTGTGGGGTCTGGGTGTCAGGCTCAGGTCATCAGGCCTGTGCGGCAGATTTACCCCTGAACTTTTTCAGCAGCCTGAGTTTCAGTTTTGCAAGCTGAGAACATTCCAAAGACGGTTGTTTGACTATGTAAATAATAATGGGTACTTAACACCACTGAATTGTACATTTAAAAGTGGCCAAAGTGATGTGTTGTGTTCTGTGTATTTTACCATAAAAACTGTAAAACGGGACCATGTGTGGGCTCACAACCATCTATCCCAGGGGTTCTGACGCCCTCTTCTGGCCTCCACAGATACCGCATACATTCATATATGCAGGCTAGACACCCATGCACACAAAAGAAAAATAAATAAAACTGAAAAACTACAATCCCACCAGAGTACTGGGCACACACAAACGTGTTTGGCCCGTGCACTGTAGTTGGCTAGCCCTGTCATGGAAAACTGAATCAGCCTCAGTCCTCACTAGCACACAGAGGGCCGCAAATCCCATGTGGTCAGGCAATGAACCTGAGGAAGAGGTGAGAAGACAATATTTGCTTCATAGCAGATGAAAAAGCAGAAATAAACTTGGACACACAGCACGAGCATCCATGTTTTTCTTTATTTTTATTTTTATTTATTAAGAAAATTTCTACTCACTCCACATACCATCCACAGACCCCTCCTCCTCCCTCCTCACACCCCCTGCCCCCAGCCCTCTTTCCCAAGCCACCCAGCATCCCCACATCTCCCAAATCGAGGTCTCCCATGGGGAGTCATCAGAGCCTAGCACACTGAGCCCAAGCAGGTCCAAGCCCCTGCCCACTGCACCAAGGCTGTGCAAGGCTTCACACTACAGGGACCAGATTCCCAGAAGCCTGCCCATGCACCAGGGATGGATCCCGATCCCCCTGCCTGGGTGTCCCCCAAACAGTTCGAGCCAAACAACTGTCTTCCGTATCCAGAGGGCTTAGTCCAGTCCCATGGGGGCTCCACAGCCACCAGTCCACAGTTCATGGGCTTCCACTAGTGTGGTCGGTCATCTCTGCACGTCTTCCCATCATGATCTCGACGTTCCTCACCTGCAGAATCCCTCCTCTCTCTCATCAATTGGATTCCCGGAGCTCAGCCTGGCGCCTGGCCATGGATCCATGTTTTTCGATGGGAGAGCGCCTGTGCTGATGGTGCTCTGCCCTTCCCTTCCTTCCAAGGACAAGGGAGTTAATTTCACCTTGGTCCACTCCCCTCCCAAAACCCCCTCCGGCCCCTGTCACGGTTTTTGGAGTGAAAATTGTCTAGGTCTCGTTTCTCCAACTTGTGCTCTCTGCTACTTTTTTTGGGAAGGAGTTTCAGCTCACTGGTGGTTTTTTGGCTCCTTGACAAACTGCATTGTTTTCTATAAAAAGCTCACTCAACAACTGTAGAGAGCAAAGTACTACAAAATGTCAGCTGTACATCACGTGGGCCTTTAAAGAACTATCTGGATGTGGACAATCTTGAATTGGGATTGTGGAAAATATTCTTCAAATAGTTTGAAGAGGAAAAAAATAAATAAGACCTCAGCCAGTCTAGTCTCATGGCATGCATCCATCATTGAGAAGGGAAGGTGTCCTCAGAAATCAAGGTTGGGAGGCTTTTGGCTGCCTGTGGGTCTGAAGTGATTCCTTGTGAGAGCCAGAGAACTCCGCTCTGCCTCTGCTCTCTCAGCCCTTTTGTCATCTTTGAGTCCTGCCAGGTCTCACTTCTACCTTGTGGGCCAATGTGAGAGCTGAAGGGTGTTTTTGAAATATTATCATATAGTAGTTATAATCATTTTAAGGCACATATAGTAGTTATAATCATTTTAAGGCAAGGATATTTCTGGTTAGTCATAGAGGTGCAGCCTGTAGGTGGAGTTTTCCTGTCCTGACCACCTGCTCCCAAATAACCAACATGGAGACTTAAGATTACTTATAAATGTTCAGTTGATAGCTCAGGCTTGTTACTACCTACCTCTTACATTTTAAGTTAACCCATATTCCTTCTTATGCTCTGCCACGTGGTGGTGCCTTTATTAGCATGACATGTTGATCTCCTGCTCCCTCTGTGTCTGGCTGGAGACTCCTCTGACTCTGCCCTTTTTATCATTCTCAGTTTGGCTCTTCCACCTAACTTTATCCTGTTCAGCTACTGGCCAGTCAGCTTCTTTATCACAGCAACACATCTTCACAGTGTACAAAAGTATTATTCCACAGCAGCCACCATTATAGATGATTTCAGAACTAAATAAGCATAACCAGAATTCACTTGTAAATCCACTACCTAGAAGTGGGCCCAGTTTGATATCTTAGAGGACAGTTCTATTGTTCTGTTATAAATTCTGGTCACCTGCCACACTCTCTTCTTGACACTATTTTACCCTCCATAAAATGGGCCCAATAATCCTGCTCAGAAGTCATGTAGGAGTTAAACAAGACACCAGTTATAAAATACTCAGCCTGGCAAACCTGTTCAAGTTGTTAATTACTCAATAATACTGACACCATGGAGAGGAGGCCTTCATTCTCCACCCCTCAACCTCAAAGACAGGTGCATACTTCACCCAGAACACACACACTCATTCCTTCCCTCCCTCCCTCCCTCCTCCCCTCCCTCCTCTCCCTTCTTTCCCTCCCTTTCCCTGTCCCATAATAGTGCATCACAAACTTTTATATGGGTCCAAAGTTCATTCCAAATCATCTAGGAAGAAAAGGGATACTAGCAGAAATGTGACCATTCTTTCAAAGATGCAGATCACACACACACACACACACACACACACACACACACACACACACTACTGACATATGGTAAATTAAGCAAATTTAAGTGTATAATCTGACAAATATTGATATTTGAACCATTAGTTAAACCAAAAGAGAGGAAAAAGATCTTTCTTCTTGGGGATAGTGGTGAACTGGAAGTGAATGGATGGGTCTCTCCCACCTGCCAGCTCCTGAATAACCACTCAGAGACCTATATTAATTATAAATGCTCTGCCAGTAGCTCAGGCTTATTTCTAACTAGCTCTTACACTTAAATCAACCCCTAATTCTTATTTATGTTTAGCCACATGGCTTGGTACCTTTTCTCAGTACAACATTCTCATCTTGCTTCCTCTGCATCTGGCTGGTGACTCCTGACTCTGCCCTCCTTCTTCCCATGATTCTCAGTTTGGCTTTCCTGTCTAACTTCCTGCCCAGCTACTGGCCTGTCATCTTTTTATTAACCAATGACAGTAATACATATTCATTGTGTAGAAAAGGATTGTTCCACAGCAATGAGCATTTGTAATCCTAGCCCTCGGGAAGCTGAGGCAGGAGGATTGCTGTGAGTTTGAGGCCAGCCTGGGACTATACAATGAGTTTGAGGCTAATCTGAGTTGCACAGCAAAACCTTGTCTCAAAACAACAACAAAAAAGATCCCAAAAAGAATAGAAAAAAAAGAATAAGAAAAAGAAAAATATTTTCATCTGTCCTGAATTTTACAGGCCAAGACCCTGAAACAAAAGGTTAAAGGGACAAATCACACATGTACTTAATACAAACTGTGAAAACAATATGAGAGGTTCTGTAAGGCAAAGACAACCCAAAGAATGAGTTAAACACACCCTTGAAGAGTGCACACTGGCTGACCGATGTACTAAATTCTGACCCACTGATAATAAGCGGTATACGCAGCCTGGCCTGTTCACTCATGTTCTTTTCATTAAAAAAAAAAAAATGTGCATGCGTGTGTGTGTGTGTGTGTGTGTGTGTGTGTGTGTGTGCCCACAAAGGCCAGAGGAGGTCAGGTCAGATACACTGAGCTGAGGTTACAGGTGGCTATAAGTGTACCACATGGGTTTTTGGTACTGAACTTGGCCTCTGGCAGAGAAGGATGCTTTTTTTGTTTGTTTGTTTGCTTTTTATTTTGTTTGTTTTTCTTTTCTCTTTCTTTTTGTTTTGTTTTGAGACAGGGTTTCTTTGGCTGTCTTGGAACTCGTTCTGTAGGCCAGGCTGGACTCGAACTCACTGAGATCCACCTGCCTCTGCCTCCTGAGTGCTGGGATTAAAGGCATGCGTGACCACCACCCGGCCAGAGAACCAAACATTTTTAACCGTGGAGCCATGTCTCCAGCCCTCAGATCCTCCTCTGTGACCTCCTGTCCTGAGGTCTAGGGACAGGCCTCCCACTTGAGGGCCTCATTGCCTGCTTCAAGGGGGAAGGCAGTCTGTGAGGATGACCTTCCTGTGTCTGCCATTTTCTTAACTCCCTTCCACCTGAAATACTTCATCTGCCAACATGCTGTATTTGGGAGTAGCATGTCTGGAACCCTATCCAAACAGTTACAATAAGCCTAGGAGCGTGTCCACTACCTCTGAAGTTTCTTGTGCTACTTTAAGATGCCCTCTGTCCAGGGCTCCCCACCACCACTGCTCAGCACTTTAGCATACACAGCAGAAACCACTCACCAGGACTCTGCCCAGTTACTTGCACAGAACAGGGCTTTGGGGGGCACCTATGCTGTTGCCTAGACCCCTGCCCATTCTTTCCTGTTTCTGAGTAGTACCCCAGTACTAGATTTAGGCTGTTTCACCCCCCCCCCAAGAGTAACACCAAAGCCTTTTACTATCATTCAAATCTTTCTTCTTCTCCCCCTTGCCGCCCCCCAGGGTTTCTCTGGGTAGCTCTGGCTATCCTGGAACTTTCTCTGTAGACCAGGCTGGCCTCAAACTCACAGAGATCCACCTGCCTCTGCCTCCTGAATGCTGGGATTAAGGGCTTCAGGGTTTGTGCCACCATTGTCTGGCCAACTTTTCATTTTAAAAAGAATGTATGGCTGGCGATATAGCCCAGTGGTCGAGCACTTGCCTTTCATCCACAAAGCCCCGGATTCAATCCCCAGTACGTAATAATTTTTTAAGGGAATATTTTTTAAGGGAATGCAGTCAGAATGTAGAAATGACTGGTGGCTGGGTGAAAACCGAAATTTGAGGTTGGTGCATTTATGGGGTGCTGCTGGAGCCCCCTGGGGATGGAGGGCGATGAAGGAGGCATTGCACCCGTGCTCTGGATGCAGGCTTGGCTCGTTAGAGCCCCACATCCGGAGCAGTGAAGGAGGTAATACTGGAACACCTGAGACAGTGAAGCGAGGCAGCTGGGAGCCACTTCAGACTGGGACCCCCAGAAGGTCAGAGCATTCTAGGGGAGCTGGGCAGCTCGGAGGCAAACTCTGTCCCCACTCACGTTCCAGCTGTTGGCAATAAAACTGAACTTTAGCTTTCAAGTGTCTGTGTGCAGGTACGCTTCTCCCAGTCCAATCTTGAAGATGTTCGTCCTTCTAAAAGCCCTCATTCCAGCCCCTTTCTCCAGAAAGAATCCAGGAGATTGGGAGGTGGTGCAAGCCTGTAATCCTAGTGCTAGGGAGGATCATGAGTTCTAGGCCAGCTGGTACCACATAGAGAAAGAGACCCTGTCTCAAAACAAGCAAACATAAAAGAAAATCAAGAATGTAGGTGGGGGACACTACCTACTTTGGGGTCAACTTCTCACTGATCATGCCCTTGCTCTTCTTTTTCTGCAGAGATGGGGATTTGAACCTAGGACTTTGCACGTGCTGGGCAAGCACTGAGCCATATCCGCAGGCCTCACTATGCTCCCCCCTGAACTGTCCCACTTTCTGCGATGTCTTCACAGCCCTAGGACCCCCTCTCACTTGCATTAAGTGAGTATCATGGAGGGCAATAAAATTTTTAGGTGAGAAGTTTCTGGCAGCTGTTGTTCAGTACTGCAGTGAAGAATCCACGCTGAAAGGCTGCTAGAGAAAAGACTGGAAGTCTGAGTCCACAGCCACCAGTGTGTGGCTTCTCTCAGCTCCTCCTTGTAGCAGAGATAGGATGGAGAAAGTGAGGGACAGAAAAGGCTGTTGGGCCAAACACCCTCAACAGACTGGCTTCCTTTCCCACTAGCTGACCTTGCATTTTATTGAGACACAAGATGGCTGGAGTCTTGACACTTAAAAACGTAAGGATTTATGCATTGAGGTCTTAATTAGACGGGAATGTCTACATTATTTACCAGTTCACGCCTCACTCCTCCTCAGGGGCAGGGCTTTAGCCCCAGGGTTCTATAATCTTGCACGGAATATTTCCACCATTACGAAGCTCCTTCAAAAATAAATAAATATCAGCAGCCCCACAGATGTTTCCTTATTTGCTGAAGGTAAAAGAAGATAAACATGCTTACTGTGATTCACAATATTTGTGTAAAAGGCACCACACTAGAGCTGTCCTGAGTACGCTCAACAATAATATTTGGGGAACTTTAATTTCTTATCTTGGATGGCTCCTCGCCACATGGATGCAGCAGCTTCAGCCTTGTCTCCAGGTGTTGACACCTCCAAAGTCAAGAACCTGGGCTTCCAGGAATTGCCTCCCCCAGTGAGACAAGGCTGACGAGGCTGGCTTCCCTCCTCAGTGGGTATCAAAGTAGGGGCTGGTTGCCCAAGGTCTGCCACCCATGGCCACCTTTCCAGACCAGCTTAGCATGGCACATGCAGCCCCTGAACCCCTAGAGGGCACATTACAGAGGCCCTTGCTGGGTCCTCTGTTGACCCAGGGTGCCTGGTTGGCTTGAGTGGCTGCTCCTCTAGGAAGTGCTCAGGTACTTCTGGGGCCTTACTTTGAGAACAACTAGCCTAATGTATCTCTTTCCAAAGCTTCCAAAATTTTAAGCCATGGCTGGGAAACTGGCTTGCAAAGGTCGGAGAAGGGACTTGTTTGCAGTTTAATAAGGCCACTCTAGGACAAGTGTGGTCGTGCATGCTTCTGATCCCAGTACTCAGGAGGCAGAGGCGGAGGCAGGAGGATATCTGTGAATTTGAGACCAGCCTAGTCTACATGATGAGTTCCAGGCCAGCCAAGCCTATTTAGTAAGACCCTGTCTCAATAAATCAATAAATAGACAATAAACAAACAAACAAACAACCCATCTTGGCTAGTTCCTAGGTGTTGGGCACAAGGCCATACTCAGAAGATCATCTGCCTGGTCCCACACTTCTTAGGAGAGACCCAGATGTGTGTTTATGTAGATTCTGTGGCTGACTGAACTTGCTAAACTTTTAGTGTTTAAGCCTGGTGCCTAAGACTGAGCTTGAGAGAGGAGGTGGCCTGGGAGGGTGTCCACAGGCTGGTGGATCCCCGGAGCTTGGGGGAAGGCTCTGTTAGCGAATGCAGTGTGGGTAACAAGTACATTCTGGCTGAGGGTCTGGGGACAAGTGCACCTGTTCAGCACACACATTAAGAAGGGAGCTGAGCGTAGTGAAGGAAAGTGCAGCTTCCCACCTGGCAGCCTAAGGCCCGGGGTGATGCCTCCCCATTATGGCGTAGTTCTGGAAGCAGTGTGGCACTCTCAGGGCACACACAGGGCTCACCTCAGTGATCTAGGCCTAGAGCTGCCACTCAGTGTATCTGAAGCCTACGTAGCTGTCCTCCATACTTCCTCCTGGGCCCACTCATACCTCAGGAGAACATTCCTGGGGTGTCTAGTGTCAGGTGGTGGCTTTGAGCTGTAGGAGCTGGCCCACACTCTGCCTTCCAGTCATGTATCTGGCTTCTTCATTTCTGCTCTGTGCTCCTTTAGGTGTCTCCCATGGGGTATGGACAGTGGGGCTGGGAGCATCTCCCACTGAGGACAACGGCACTAACTTCCTTGCAGTTCTGTGAAGCCTTACGCTCAGGCTTCTGCTGCAGGCTTTTCAGTTTTCCCAGTACCAAACAGGCCTTAAGGTTTTTGGCATCTTTGTCAAGAATCATATCACTGGGGCTGGAGAGATGGCTCAGAGGTTAAGAGCACTGGCTGTTCTTCCAGAGGTCCCGAGTTCAATTCCCAGCAACCACATGGTGGCTCACAACCATCTGTAATGAGATCTGGTGCCCTCTTCTGGCCGGCAGTCATACATGCAGGCAAAACACTGAATATATAATAACTAAATCTTAAAAAAAAAAAAAAAAAGATATTCCTTAAAGAAAGAACCATACTGCTATAATTTCATGAGTTTATTTTTGAGCCCTTTATTCCTTTGGTCTACATTTGTGTCCTGTGCCAGGCTCCAGTCTGGTTTGGTTACTATGGCACAGTTGTAGAATGTGAATGGAGCATTATATCTGCAGCATTGCTTCTCTTTGCTTCAAATGGCTTTGGCTATTTGGGAACTTGTTTACATTTGGGATCATTCCCCGCCCCCCCCCCCCCATTCCTGGGAAGGCTCCCCCTGGAATTTTAATAGGGATTGTCCTGAGTATGTGAATTACCTTAGTAATATGTTCATTTCTATAACAGAACTCTGACCCATGATTATGAAGGGCTTCTTAAATTTTATCATTTTCTTATTTATATTCCTTTTCTTATTGCTCTGGCCGAGGTTTCAAGCATCATTTTGAAGCAAGAGTAATGAGAATGGACACACTTACCTCACTCAGTTTTTCCCCATTTAGTACATGGTTAGCTATCAATCTGTTGCATACGGCCTTTATGTTCCTTCTTTACTTGGTTTAAAAACTTATCAACACGTGGAATTTGTTAAAGGCTCTTCTGCACTGGCTGTTTCTTCTGTGCTATATTACACTGGCTGGTTTGCACATGCTGAGTTTTGGAATGAGACCAATTCAATCATGGTGCGGTCATACATACATGTGTGTGTGTATATATATATATATATATATATATATATATATATATATATATATATATATATATATATGTATGTGTATGTGTGTGTGTATTTACACACACACACACACACACACACACACACACACACACACACACACGACTAAATGTAGCTCCAGCTAGCCTTGAACTAAGCAGCTGAAGATGACCCTAAACCTAAATGTTGGGACTATAGGCATGTGCCACCAAGCCTGGCTATTTGCAGTTTTTTTGTGTGCGTTTTCACATTAGTTTGTCAGTTATTTTCATCTCTAACTATAAAATTATAATGTTGACTACGCCATTTCAATTCACACCTCTTTCTTCTCTCAGTTCCATTTCCACTGGCAGCTTCTGGTCTGCCTCTCTTCAGCGGTGGACCCCATAATGCATTTGAGAATCCATCTCGAACTAGCGCTCCCTAACTTTGCAGGCAGTGTGGTTCAGGATAGAGTTGAGAAGAGGATTAGATTTGGAAGGCAATGTTGTTTCTGCTCCAAAGAACTCCTCTTGTTGTGTAAAATTTACACATCTAAGACTGAACTCCACCTCAAAAAAAAAAAATCAGAAAAAAGCAGAAAGATCCAAATAGTATGAAACAACATTCTTAAACAGAAGGCACAAAACATAATAGAGGTTTAAACAAGTTTCACCTTCTCAAATGTCAGTATGACATACTGACCTCACAATGCATGCCAGATGCTGTCCCCAAAGAAGTCATATGACGCAATGACACACTAAAGCATGAGCTTTTTAGTGTTAGGCTCAAAGCTGTCCCTACCACCACCCCAAATGGCAGTGCAGGTGACAATGTCCTAAATAGGACTTTAGCTGAGTAAATGAGGATTGTTATTGGGTAAACAGAGGCCTCAAGGTGGGTGTCTATTATCCAGGAACCTCCTTAATCTCATCTCTAAAGGTCAACTACCTCGGGAAAGGGCATCTAGTTCCCTGTCAACATGAACAGTCTGTATCAGCTCAAAGACCCCCAACCCTGTTGATTGTCATATAAAAATCTCTTACTTTTCAGTCATTTTGCTCTTCTTTCTGCCCACCCCCCACCTCCCACATAGCCTTGGCAGTTTGATTCTCAATAAACCTTTCTTTCCACCCATGGAGTGGTCAAGTTCAGTGGTTTCACTGCACCCTCACTTACATTTGCTGCTGAAACCCTGGACCTAACAGCCACTAAGGATCAAACTTCAAGTGAAGATGCAGATGGAGAATTAGGATCAAAGGATACTTGACAGTTTCTTTAAGAATATCCAATCATTCATTCATTGTGGTAAGAGGTTGCGGGTAGTGTAGCACTGGCACTTATGTGGAGTAGAAAGGGACTCTACTTAGCTTTAGGCATTTTTTTATTCTGGAGTCATGTACATTGGCAAGAGAAATCCAAAGTATGGCTCTCCTCCTTTAAAGAACAGAGTGGGGCTGAAGAGATGGCTTAGAGGTTAAGAGCACCGACTATTCTTCCAGAGGTCTTGAGTTCAATTCCCAGCACCCACATGGTGGCTCACAACCATGTGTAATGAGATCTGGCACCCTCTACTGTGTACATAATAAATAAATCTTAAACAAACAAACAAATAAATAAAGAACAGCATGTTTAATCAGGAAGAAGACCTAGTGGTGCATATTTTTAATGCCAGCATTGGGAGGGCAGGAGTGGATCAGGAGTTCAACCAACCATGGCTACATATGAATTAAGAAAACTGACATCAACCAATCAACCAATCCCTGTCCCAAGAATAAACCACTAGAAAGAATACTGGGGCCAGGCTGAGATGGCACACGCCTTTAATCCCTTGGGAGGCAGAGGCAGGCAGATCTCTGAGTTGGAGGCCAGCCTGGTCTATAGAGTGAGTTCCAGGATAGCCAGTGCTGTTACACAGAGAAACCCTGTCTTGAAAAAACTAAATAACAAAACTCTGGTATTTATTACACACATGGCTAACATGAGAGACTCAGACACCTCTCCCCCACCCCCCAGTCTTCTTTTTTAACCCTAAACTCCCATGGAGTCACAGGGGCTGTTGTGCTTATTTAGGGGTATTCAGGGACTCTGAGACACAAGGAAAAGATCTTCTTAAGATCTGCTTCTCCTTTGGGGGTGTAAGTCATCTCTAGCATAGTCTTTGGTGCTGCAGTATGTATTCTTGCGATAAGTTGTCAACACAGCACAACATGTCAAATGCTGACATCCACACGGACGAGGTGCTGAGGATACACAGACCCACAGGGTGTGACCCGTCAGAGACTTTACTGCTGTCTCTCTAAGAGCAGAAAGGCCTTCTTTAACAAGTCAACAGGCTCAGTTCTGAGTTGCTGGCCTAGACAGAGTGGAGTCTATCCTTCCCTTTGTCCCTTCACAGTGATGGGAGCTACACTGATGATGAACACCGCAGGGCACAGAGAGAAGTCTGGTGAAGACAGTGACAAGTGAGAATGTGGCCTGGTCAAGGGCAAGCGAAGCCCAGGGCTTCCCAGCCGCTGTTGCTGGAGTCTTCCGTTAGTACATCGCCCACAGACAAGCAAGGAGCAGACATTTTAAGTATAAGTAAGGTCTCACAAAGAACAGACAGGCTTCTTGTACTTTATTTGAGTTATTTTCAAACAAGTTACAAAAGGTTTTAATTTTTATAATACTCTTCATAAGAAAATAAAATTTAAATAAAAATACATTCTCAACAATACAACATGGTTACACAAATTCACTATATTATGTTTTGATAACTTACATTTTCAAACTAGACACTGTAAAAACCCATATTTACTAACAACATATTAATTCCTGGGTTAAAAATGGAAGCAGATAACATCAATCAAGATCAGTAATTTAACTCTAGAATGAGTTTTGTTTTTGTCACATATGTGAGGACTAGAAAGCTCTGCTGAGTCTGTCTTTACAGGCTATTCAACAGTACTTAAAGCAAATTAGAAGGTGCGTTCACTTAAAAGAAATCTGTTTTTAAAACATGGCTTGAATGAGCTCTTCCAGTAAAAGACTGAAATCAGGCCTTGGAAACACAAACAAAAGCCACAACCATCAGTCATGTGATGCTTTCTGTTGGTAAAATAAGAGCCCAGTTTTGACTCTTCACTATTACCCGTGAATTAAAAACATGTTTCTTTGGTAAACAAAATAGTTTGAGTTGATAAGTTATATTCCTGGGAGTAAAAACCTTTGCTATTGCCCACTGTCTTACCAGATGACGATTTAAAACAAAGCTAAAAAAATATACAACATATCCCACACTCTGAGTATTGGATGGACACAGCTCCATGAAGCTCAGAGCTAGTGAGCATCTCTGGTAAGTCTCTCCCTATCATCTTCTGTCCTTTCTGCGGTCTCCAGGTTTTAGGGAGAGGCGAGCTGCCATGTATTTTTTTTCCAAATGCTCTTTGTAAAAGGCAGAGACAGAAGATCATGGAGTTAAGACTCAAAGTACTCAAGAGCCCAGCAAAGGAGAAGGCCCCTAGAAGGGCCTTGATTGTCGTAAGGTCCTGTGGACATGATTCTGACTGGAAAAGACTTAAACCTAAGGAAAATTAGTTGTATATTTCTCTTTTTACACTGTGCTAAGCTGTCCAATTAATTCCAGTCAATTTGGCTGTTTAAAGGGTCATGTCAATAACAGAACTAAAAGACTGAGCTCTCAAACAGAGTTATATATGTGCATAGATTTGGCCTTTTTGATAATATGATCTTTAAAAATATTTATAATTGGAGTTTGATATTAGAAATGTTAGGGGTGTGGCATGTGCCTTTAATTCCAGGACATAGGAGGTGGAGGCAGAGTCAGGTGGATCTCTGTGAGTTCTAGGCCAGCCAGGGATACATAGTGAGACTTTGTCTCAAAACAACAAGAAATTATTAGGAAATAGTTCCTTTCGGGGGGGAGAAAAATCACTAAAAAGTCTTGACCTCTTTTATCCGGACCACTCACATCTTTTTCAGGTACATTTTGGAGAATTTAAGTAGGAATTTTAATATGAAGTTCATGAGAAATGTATTAAATGGCTAATTTTTTAACATCTACAACACAGTGTAGTTAATGGGATCTCTAAGTCTGTCAGACTCTTCTAAACTTTATCATGGGGTAGGAGTCACAATCAAGCACAATTCAGGCCTGTGCTAACTCTTAAAAATCTGTTGTAGATTATTATTTTAAGATGTGTTACATTTGTTTATGCTGTGGAACATGTTTAATGAGATGCAAGGATGTGTTGCCTTCTTTTATGGTGCATTTGTTAACTCTGTGAAGCTGTGTTACTTTGCCTGTCTAAAACACCTGACTGGTCTAATGAAGAGCTGAATAGCCAAAAGCTAGGCAGGAGAAAGGAGAGGAGGGGCTGGCAGGCAGAGAGAATAAATAGGAGTAAAGAGGGATCAGGAAGCAAGAGAGATCAAGGAGCGAGAAAAGAAGCTACCCAGCCAGCCACGGAGTAAGAGTGAAATAAGATTACAGAAGAAAGAAAAGGAAAAAGCCCAGAGGGGATAATATAAGAAAATATAAGACGGGATAATATAAGAAAAGCTGGCTAGAAATAAGCCAAGCTAAGGTCGGGCATTCATAAGTAATAATAAGTATCCATGTGATTAATGAGGGAGCTGGGTGGCAGGCCCCCCAAAAGAGCAAAGAGTAAAAATAACAAAAGTCAATTAGAAAAATACATTTTTTCAGTCATGATTTTTTTATGGGACAACTCTGTTAAAAAATCTTTAAAAATTACCTAATAACAATGTAAAAACAAATATCTAGCAACAACATAATTGGCAAATATATTCTGAAATACAGCTTAAGCTCAACGAAATAGAAAATCACAGCTAGTTAAACTTACACCAATAAGTCACAGTTTTCAACAGGAACATGTGTAAATACCCCAAGGTTCAAAGTACCACACTTAGAAAATGTTCTGAATTAAAAAAGACAAGTAAGTACCATGGTTTAATACTGACGAAGCCAAGTGCATCGCTGCTCTCCAGCGTGGCACTTGCTTCAATTGCTTATTTACAGTTAGGGTTTTTAGGACCCACGCAGAGCAAGGAAAAACAGGATTTCAGCAGTTGCTGACCCTAATTCCATTCGGCTAGCAGGCAATGAGGAAACAGCAATAAAATACAAACATTTTCAGGAAAGCACTGTTCTAGGCTTAAACACTGATCATTCAACTGATCATAAAAGATAGATACCATGGAGTATCTAAACTACAATCTGGAATGTGCCAGATTATTAAAGTGCGCCAAGTGACTGTTCTCGAGTCAGAGCAGGACCTAACACTACATGGAGGGCATCCTCACACACCCTTCCTATGACATGAAACAGCAGGCAAGGTCCAGGGACTTTCTCACCACCTTCACTATTCTCTTCTGGTTGGGAAGAGATGCATTCAGGAGTAATTCTAAACTGATTCTCAAATTAAGAAAACAAGTACCTGATATTTAAAACAATGAAAAACATTTTAGTGGTCTCATTTTATTCATGTGCCATCACTCATTCCAAATGTAAACATGGTGCACACAGGAGCACATATTCCCTGATATCTATCTGCGTACTCTTACACCTGTGACAAGGCAAAACATCCACCAACTTTCAAGGTAGTTATGAGGTCTTCATCTCTGTCTCTATAACCTGTAACATCTAACACAACACAGGAAAAAAAGGTTTTGTTTTTTCTTCTTTTTCTTTTTGGAGATGGAAGGTCCAGATGAACTCAATGAAAAATTCTGAATTGACAATGGACTGGGATTTTCTAGTAAAATGCAGTGTTGGCAGTACAGAGCAGGCACTAATGGTAGTGAAAATGAGTCCACACAACAGGGTGCTACAAGCAGAGACGCTTTCTTACTCTGAAGTGCTCCCTTTATTACAAAGCTTCTTAGGAACCTTCCTTAGAAAGATTCTATCAAAAAGAAGTTGCAATGATATGGATTTGGATGCATGAATTTGAAGGAAGCCCTGGGTTTCAAATTCTCTAGTAATAAACTCATGGATATCAGAATTCCCAAACAGTTAATTTCAACCATTAAATATTAAATACAATGTGAAAGCAGGTATCATCAAAGCAAATGTCTGCTCTTACATACTATGAACACAATTGGGTGAATTAAAAACTCCATGAAAAAGAGTATTTTCCAGTTTTCCATTAGCTGGTCGAACTATGATATTTTCCCAACAATTGGATTTTCCCTATAAAACAGTAAAAGAAAAACTTTTTAAAAGAAATATACAAATTAAAGACATATACAGAACCCAAGAAGCACTTCTAATTTTCCTTGCACCTTCACATACTGAGTCTTGTTTTATTAATGCAGTAAGTATTACTGATCATTTACCACATTTCAGGCACTATTCTAGAAGCTAAGGGTACAGTACTTAACAAAACAGACACATAATTCATGGAACTCACCTGATGGCGTAGGAAAAGAAAACAGGCAAATATTTAGTACAAGAGGGTTTGGCTGTTCGTTGTTGCTCCCCACCCCCCAGTGCTATATGCTAGTCAACCACACTAGCATCAAGCTATTTCTTAGCCCAAGTCCCCCCTCCCCCAATTAAAGAAAGAAAAAAGATGTGTGAAGTACACTGCCAGGGACAGTAGGGTGGGCAGTGAGCAAGAGTACTACCAGGAGCTGAGCTGGTGCTTTTTAATAGAGAAAAATAAAGCTGGTCAGGGTATAGTATGCACAGAGGATGAGGCAATACACATATATGGATATGTATGTGTGTGTGTGTGTGTGTGTGTGTGTGTGTGTGTGTGTGTGTGTGTGTGTGTGTTTCAAGACAAGGCTTCTCTGTGTAACAGCCTAGATATCCTGGAACTCCATCTGAAGACTGGGCTGCCTCTGCCTCCCGTGTGCTGAGATTAAAGGCTGGGCCACCATGCCTGGCAGTGAGGTACTATTTAAGGATGGTCACGCCTTGGCTAGGAACTTCCAAGGGCTCCAGGAAAATTAGATTAACCCTTGTTGGAAGAGATTCAATTACACTAATGAAGAAAATACAGAATTAGGATGTTTACAACACAAGCTTTGTAATGTACTAAGCTTTCTGTTCAGGAAGAATGTATTTATACCAATAAAACTGATTTTTCTTATTCAGAAATACAAAAACACTGTCATAATTTTCAAAGATTATTTAAAATAGTGCAACAAGAATTCCAAGTCCTCCCACTAACGGTGTGGGATCTTGGGCAAGACATTCATCTTCCTTGTACTTCAAGGTTTCTACGTATAAAGTGGGAAGGAGACCATCCTAGGCCGACATGAGCTCAATGACAGAGGGACATGCACTGTGGAAAACACTATGATTTGCTGGTCTGTGAAGCCAACCTTCCTACCCAAGGTGTTACTGGCAGAACCCTGGTGACAGTGGAGACCTGTGAGACAGGGAAGGCTGGCGGTGACAAGCTTCTTTTCTCTCAGTAGGGAAGGAATAGTCTTTTCTTTTTCTGCCTGTGGACAGTATCTTAGAAAAGAAAGGGGGGCTCGGAACTACCTTCAAGATTTAGATGACCTTAGTGCTATACAGTTCCCAATGACAATGCCCAGCTCCTGCATCAACTGTCTGTACAGCTGGGTCTTCCCTGGTGAGACTAAGAACGTCCCTCAGGAGTTTGTTACTCGCTGCTGAGAGTCATCTGACTGACAGTGTGTCCAGTGCCGAGTGCGGCATTCTGAGAGGACGCAGCCCCCAGTGCATGTCGGCTGTTGCTGTCTGGACCCATCTCATCTTCTCTATCTCAGATGCAGTCGAAGCACTGGGAATCAACTACCACGTGCTTTCATGCACTGCCACAGCTTGCTTGTTTTGCTATTCATTATAAACATACGGTGTTGTGAGAAACGGAGAGACAATACAAACAAAAAGAAAAAAGCTACTCATCTTTAAGGAATGAATTACAACCAACCATGACATTCAAAGCAGCGATAGTGTACAGCACCAGCATCCTGCAATGACAGCTGAACTGAACAAGCAAAGGAGGGATGGGGAGCACGCACAGGAGAAGGCTGGGTCCTCACAGACCGGCAGCGGCAGCCTGCTGAGGGTACTCACTTGCTTCCGTATTTTGCACTACTTGATCTTTTCTTTCTGTATTTCTCGTGAGGCTCATCTAGCTTCTCTATGATGCTTTTTATTTGCTGAATTGTCTTAAAGGTCGTAACAGAATCCTCAATTGTGAAGTTACAATAATCAGGCTCTTTCTGAGGCCCCTGATAGACTGCTATAGTTCCACAAGCCTCTGTAAAGAGCAGTGAAAGATGATCAGAAAACTAAATTCTACAAATGTAATCTGTCATATAATTAAAACATTTTTTGAAGTTTTTAAGGGAGAGATTTTCTTTGACTATACAGTAACAATTTTACTAAATAGAACCATCACATTTACATGACAATGGTAATTTTTTTTCATGAATAGCCAAGATAAATGCTCCCTTTGATGGTTCGTGAACTTCATTATCAGTAACTCAGTAAATCTATAAATATTTTCAATTAAAAAAAAGATCAAAGAAATAACTCAGAAATTAGTAATGAAGATCATGGTTTTATAAAAGTAGAGTGTGTGTTTACCTTCCATTTTCTGCAGCTTAAGTAAACTGAGGGTAAAAAGGGAATAAATTCTTTCTGTTTCTCTGTCTTCATCAATATCTATCTGGATGTCTGCAGGAATACCTCTATGATAAAAAGAAAATTAAAGACATTGGAAAGTTTTCTTGGTTAACATGAGAAAGATTTTTGATGAATTAAGACTAAACTAGATTTAGAATTTTGGAAAAAGGACCTCAGAAATTAGTTTCTGAGATAATCAAACACCATCACAAGATTTGGTTGTTACGGATTCAAGTCTTGAAGAGAATTTTGAAGTAGAATACTTTTTTAAAGTATTTTTTAAAATGTGTATGTGTGTATCTGTGCACGTGTGTGGGTATCTACAGAGGCTAGAAGAGGGCATCAGATTTCCTGGAGCTGGAGTTACATAGGTTCTGGAACTGAACTGGGGTCCCTCTACAAGAGAAGCAAGCATTCTTAACCACTCCCCAGTCCCAATAAAATCATTTTTATAATCTATGGTTCTTCACAGAAACAATGCATTAGTAATCAAATCTACAGGGCAACAATGGCTACTCCATAATATCTAAAACAGAATGTTTAGTGGACTTGTTGGATACAGTTTTAGATTTTATTTTTATTATTTTTAATTGTATGTTTGGGGGTGTGCATGTGAGTACAGGTGCCTGAGGAAGCTGCAGGCATTGGATACCTTGGAGTTGGAGATGCAGGTAAGTTAAGAGCTGCTTAATGTAGGTGATGGGAACCAAACTTGGATCCTCTGAAGAACAGTAAGTGCCCTTCACTGCTGAGCCATCTCTCTAGCCCCTCTTTGCATCTTGCTCAGGCTTGAGATGCTTATTTTTCTTCTTTCAATGGTGTTGATGATGCAGTGGAACATTGCTCATAGTTGGCAAATGCTCTACCATCAACCTTTAATCTGGCCTTCTAGACCTGTGCTACAATCTAAACTCCCACCCCCAGACTGTATAACCATTATTAATTTCAGAGTATTTTCATCAGCCACAAAAGAAACTTTGTACTCATTATCAGTCTCCATTCTCCCATCCTTCCAGTCCCTGGCCACCACTAATTTGCATTATGTGTCTATGAATTTACTTATTCTATATATTTTATTTTTTGTGGTACTAGGATCCAACCAAAGTTCTTATATGTATCATATAAACACTCTACCACTAGGCAACAACCCCAGCCCTTCCAGACACCTTTTACAGAAATATTTTCAAACGACACGTGGCCTTTCTGTGTAGCTACTTTTACTTAGCTTGTTTTCATTCCCATCCCCACTGTATGGACAGACATTCTGAGTCACCATTCTTTCATCAGAATGGAACTTACGCGGTACATGGCTTGCAGCCTGGTGTAGTTTCACTTGTCTCCTGGCAGCAGAGCCAGTTCCCATTGAGATATGCTGAAGGATGGAAAGAACTGAGTCTGTTGTGGTTGCATCTGCTCACCCTGCACAGCACATCTATCCACTCGTTAGCCTCCACACAGTTATTTGCTTGGACGTAGAGTGTTTTCTCTGTATGGATCACTTGGAACATCTTTATTGGTAATAAAGACAGAAAGTTAAACAAGTCTTAAAATCAACACACAGTACACAGAGTAAGTACTCAGAAAGAGACCTGGCTGCCTGGCTAAGTAATGGCTGCTAATGTATCTCTAGAGTTGTTACTCTCTAAGCAAGCCAGTGCCTGTGGTGGTCTGAGGGAAAATGGCCCCCAAAGGGAATGGCACTATTAAGAAGTGTGGCGCACGCCTCTAATCCCAGCACTCGGGAGGCAAAGGCAGGTGGATCTCTGTGAGTTTGAGGCCAGGCTGGGCTACAGAGTGAGTTCCAGGAAAGGCTCCAAAGCTACACAGAGAAACCCTGTCTTGAAAAACAAAAAATAAATAAAAAAAGAGGTGGCCTTGTTGGAGGAAATGTTTCACTGTGGAGGTAGGCTTTGAGGTGTTCTATGCTCAAGCTACACCCAGTAAGAGACTACTTCCTGTTGCCTGCAAGATGTAGGACACTCAGCTACTTCTCCAGCATGGGTGCTTGCATGCTGCCATGTCCAACCATGATGATAATGGACTCAATCTCTGAACTGCAAGCCACCCAATTAAATGCTTTCCTTTATAAGAGTTGCTGTGGTCATGGTGTCTTTTCACAGCAGTAGAGATCCTGAGAGTCTTAGTTGATGGTACTAAGCAGCAGAACAATATAAACTGTGGTGTCACACATATCCAAAGGAAAGGCCACTGTCTGAGTAAGAACGAAGACAGGTAATTTTAGATGTAGGAGGAGTGTGAGGAAAGACAAGCAGTGGGGAGATAGTGGGGATCAGGGATGCCATCCTGGTGACTGGAGGGTCCTGCCTGAGTGGCAATAGTAGACATAAGTTGGGACATTACTTAAGAGATCCGAATGGCAAATATTAAAATAACTTACACACAACAATTTAAAATGCTTTCAATATTTATACAACTTACATTTTTCTTGTTGAAAGAACTTTCTTCTAGTTTTTCCACAGCAAGAATGTTTTTTACTGGAATAGTGTAAATTGCATCTTTGCCTAAATAAGAAAAGATGACAAAATTAAAAGAATTACTGTAATAATTACAAAGATAAGATGTTAATTCTGTAAGGTTAATTCCACTTGCTGGTAGAAGCATATGCATCTACAGTAGACTTCTGGATGGTCTGTATATAATATAGAACAGGAGTTTTGACTGAGTTCTATAAAATGCCCTCTTTTTCCATATGGATGAAAATATTTTCTAAGAAAAGCATGTGAATAAATTTGATCTCTACGCAGAAAATTATTTTCTATGCTGTTGCAAATTGGTAACACTAATTATATGGAGGCTGAAAGAATGAATGTGCCTAGTGATAAAGACCCTCCGAGAGGCCCAAGCATGGGAATTGACCTAAGCAGTGAATACAACTATTAGATTCTTTTGTTTTGTCATCTTAACATTTCATTACAGGATTATTCCTTAAAACAAAAACATTTAGTATGTGTGTACGTGTAGGGATCCAAATCCAAGACATGATGCAGAATAGGCAGGTGCACTAGCACTAACCTACATCTCTACCCCTAAAACATGCTTAATTTTACTATTTTATGTGTATGAGTGTTTTCCCATATATATATGTATATAAGTGTACCACATATGTGCCCAGTGCCCCCAGAGGTCAGAAGAAGGCTTTGGATCCCCTGGGACTAGAGTTACAGATGGTTGGTTGCAAGCCACCATGTAAGTGCTGGGAATTAAACTCAGGTCCTCTATAAAAACAAGTGCTCTTAACCACTGTGGTAGTTTGAATGTAATTGCCCCTATAAGCTCACAGGGAATGACACTATTAGGAGGTGTGACCTTGTTGGAGGAAGTGTGTCACTGTGGAGGCAGGCTTTGAGGTCTTATATATATGCTCAAGCCATGCTCAGTGACTCAGCTTATTTCCTGTTGACTGGGATCAAGATGTAGCTCTTTCTCCACTCTCAGCTCCTTCTCCAGTACGATGTCTGACTGCATGCCGTCATACTCCCAGCAGCCACGATAATGAACTAAACCTCTGAAACCATAAATCACCCAACTAAATGTTTTCCTTTATAAGAGTTGTCTTGGTCATGGTGTCTCTTCACAGCAATTGAAACCCCAACTAAGACAATCACTAAGGCCTGAATTTTTGAATTTTGTTTTATTTACATACTTTGTTTTTTGAGACAAAGTCTCTCTATGTAGTCTTACTGTCCTGGAACTCAATATGTAGACCAGGCTGGTCTCAGGTTTCTATCTAAGGCCTCATACTCAGAAGGATCCACCTGCCTCTGATTCCCAAGTGCTGGAATTAAAGGGACGTGTCACCATGCCCAGCCTTGTTTAAATGTTTTAAAATTAATTTTATTTTAGAGTTTGTGTATGTGTAGGTGCACTACATCAACTACAGGACATGTGTGGAAGTCACAGGACAAATGGCAGAATTTACCGTGTGGTTCCCAGACACTGAACTCAGCTTGTCAATCTTGGTAGCACACACCTCTACCCACTGACCCATCTTGCCAGCCCCGAAACATGTTTTTAAACATATTGTTCAGCTGGCTAGCTAGTACTATAAAGTTTACTTTAGGAGATGCCAGAGATAAACACGAACATTTTATCCAGAAGAGTGAATTCTTAACTGTTTAAGGGTTTTGAAATGTAGGCAAGGGAATTTGAGTTTGTTAAAGGGCCTCCTGCTAACATGTCACAAGGTGATGCGTGTCATTACCTATACCTCATCCAACTGTAGAAGCTACTGACAAATACACTATTGACTTCTGGTCATTTTGTGATGGTGTTTTCACAGCATCAAAGTTTTGTTTTTATTTCTTCAAGCTTTTCTTTAAGAATGTGTGGGTTGAAATATAGAAAGCTAAAACATTCTATTTTATACTGTTCAAAGGATTAATGCTGTGGCCTTTTTTTGGGCAAAGAGCAGTATTTGGTTAATTGTGTTTTTGTTGTTGCTGTGAATAAAGATGTTAATACAAAAAAGTTGTTCAGTCAAGTCTCCTGGCACAAAAGCTAAAATTTAAGGTAATTTAAATAGATGTGACACATAATTTTAAAAGATATATACTTGAAATTGGGCAGTTAAGGAGAACTTCTCTGTGGAAATAACATTTACATTAAAAAATACCAATCATACATGGGGACAAAAGAAGAGATTATCAGCATTCTTCTGGAAGCAGATAAAAGTTGTGAGGATACAAGGTAGGGCAGGAAGAGAATAAGTCACAGGTAGGAGTAGTCAGGAAAAGCTTCAAGTCAGTGCCAGTGGACACAGAGCTGAACTGGAGAGACACATCAGGATGATAAACAGAGGAGTGACATCCAGAAGAGCTGGGCCAAACCCTCACAGGCTAGTGAAGCAAGGCTGCAGAACAGTGCAATGCCATAACCTGCCCCTCTCTCATGATCACTGTGGGTATGTTACTGAACCCTCAGGTAGGTGAATGGACTGTAACACACAAAGATGAGCAAACTGCCAAGGCAATTACCAAGTAGATAAAGGAAACCAGCATTCTAAAGGAGAAACATGCACACAGGATAACATCTGAGGAAATCAGAAGTGCAATGAATTGAGGGGCAGAGAGACATATGTCTTTGGGTACCAATCTACAAAGGACATTAGAAGGTCTAGCCAGAGAATTTCAAAATATTCTTCCTTTAGATTTGTTAAATATATAAAACATGTCTATACTCTTAACATTGATGTGTTTATTCATTTTGGGACAAATTCTAATACTGCAAGTATAGAGAAAGCATACTACACTTAGGAACATCTATCTGTTCTTATACTGTGAGGGCTAACTTCAGCTAACCATAACTGGAGTAAAGTGCAACGTGAGTTAGAAACAGAAGATCTTCCCAAAAAGTTTCCAAAAATACAACACAAAAAGACACAGAAACAAAGCACAAGTTAGGCTCGTAGGACTTAGTGTCGACATGTGATCAGAAGCCTCCTTAGAAAGCCATAAAATAGCAGAACTTAAAGACTAATGAAATGATACAAGAGTTTTCAGAGAAGAATCAAAAGTCTGAGGATTAGATTGACATAAAAATTTTCACCAGCAACAATGGAAGCTAGTTAACAATGGGTATTATATCTCTTCCTTCCTTCCTTTTCTTTTTTAAAAGCCTACTGCACCCATTATTCCCAGGTGGTTTCCCATCAAGTATTAGCCAGGCTGGGGCCTTGCTTAGCTTCCAAGGTAAGATGAGAACAGAGCATTCAAGGTGGCAGAGCCACAGGCCAGAGTTTTATATCCTTCAAGTTCTAAGGAAAAATGAGGCTCATGCAATAGCAAGGATAAAAATGTTTTGGTACATGTAAGGACTCAGACAAAAAAACAAACCCACTTATTTAAAAAATCCCTCAAGGAACTGTTCCTGTAATTGTAATGAATCTAAAAAAAAAAAAAAGGTTTTCTAAAAAATTATGTTGGGTAAAGAAATCTGGAAAATTGATACATCACTGAAAATCATTAAAACATAATGTAAAAAAGCAAAGCACTCTACTGAATGGGCAGAACACATTCACCAGGTGGACATTAGGTTGGTCCAAGTTTTTGGCTATTCTAAGTAATACTCGCCTAAACAAGCACTGAAGTCTCTTTGGGCATCTGCTCTCATTTCTTTTGGGGTAGATAAGCAAGAACTGAACTGCTATGGAACACTGGTTGATCATTTTGTTTTTCCTTGCCCTCTCATTCAGTTAACTTTTTTTGGGCGGGGCGGGGGGGGGGGGGGGGGGGGGGGGGGGGGGGGGGGGGGGGGGGGATCTACACAGGGTTTCTCTATGTAGCTTTGGAGCCTGTCTTGGAACTCTCTCTGTAGACTAGGCTGGCTTTCAACTCACAGAGATCTGCCTGCCTCTGCCTTCTGAGTGCTGGGATTAAAGATGTGGACCACTACCACCCACCCACAGTTAACTTTTTAAGAACTTGTCAAACTGCTTTCCAAAGTGACTGTACTACTACTACATTCCCACTAGAAATGTATGGAGGCTTCTATTCCCCCATAGTCTTACAAATATTTGGTCTTGTCTTACTTATTTAATTTTTGCAAGGATTTACCAACAGCCTTGAACATGATAGGCAAATGTTCTACCATTGAGCAACATCCCTAGTCCTATTATAAACATTCTTGGTGGTGTGAAACAGTATCTCACTGTAGCTTTAATATTCTTTTCATGTGTTTATTAGCCACCTATGTTTTGTGTTTATTCTTTAATTAAAAAAATTCTGGTTATAAATTTTATCAGATACATGTTTTGAAAGTATTTTCTTTTTAAAATTTTTTTCCAGTTTTATTTAGTGTGTGGGTATATTTTGCTTGAATGTATGCATATGTATCTGCTGCCCACAAAGCTCAGAAGAGGGTGCTCAGTCCCTTGCAACTTGAGTTATGGAGGGTTATAAGCCATCAAGTGGGTGCTGGGAATTGAAACTGGGTCCTCTGAAAAAGCAGCAAGTGCTCTTAATCATCAAGTCATCTCTCTAGCCTCTGAAAGTACTTTCTAGTCTCCTGTTTTTATCTTTTCATTATCTTTCCTCCCCCCAACCTTTTTTTTTTTTTTAATGAGACAGAGTTTCTCTGTGTAACCTTGGCTGTCCTGGAACTTGCTCTGTAGACCAGGCTGGCCTCAAACTCACAAAGATCCATCTGCTTCTGCCTCCCAAGTGCTGAGATTAAAAGCATGCGCCACCACTGCCTGGCATCATCTCTTTTTCTTATTCTCACGTGTATGTAGTGTTTTATGTGTGTATATAGTGTATTTCTGTGCAGGTAAATGTATAGGCTCGTACAGGTGAACACTTGAAGTTGACCTGAGGAAATACAGTGTATTTCCTCAACAGCTCCCCACTTTATTTACCCAGGCAGTGTTGCTCACTAACTCTGGAGCATACTAGTTCCAGCTAGTCTAGCTAGCTGACTTGCCTCGGGGATCTCCTGTTCTGAATTGTGATGAAGTCAAATTTGTTAATATTTTTCTTTCAGGACTACACTATTGATATATATGTAA